GGGAAACTTGTTTGTCTTTGGCAACAGCTGATTAGTGATTGACAGCACCCCTGGCCAACCAGAATTGAGTTCGCCGATGTTGCTGGGGTTACAGTATCTGCTCGGCCCGACTAGAGCCAGGGCTAAGTCGTTAATAAAAAAGTGAAGGGTAGCGGCTAAAGCGAGCCGGTGGAAACGTCCGCAAACCGGGGAGAGTCAAGTCGAGTAGAGTAGAGTCGGGCCCATGAAGCTGGCTTAGGTCAGCCACGTCCTCCTTAACTTTGTGGATCTCGGCAGGTCTTTGGTTATCCTGAAAAAATGCCAACTTCACTTTTGTTTTTCAATCAGGAAGTCAAGAGATGCTTTTGTTCAATCAAGAAGGAGGATGGGACTCTTCCTGGTTTTCTTTCTACGTCTCAGTCTGTGGCTCATTGGTTTTTCAACGGGTGTTATAGTCTAATGTCTTTATTTATATTTCCATTGACGGCTTTTTGATATGTCTCCAGGGTTAAACGTGATGCTTTTCATTGAACGCTGAAAGAAGGCTCTCTTAACTTTCTGTACGCTGCAGCTCTTGCGTATTCTTTTAACTTTGCCTTAGCCTCATATTCAACTTTCTTCAGGTTCCTTTGTAGAGTCGTCACATCGTCTGTCAGAAGTACACACACTGATCGAGCTCGGTGTTAGTGAGGTTTAAAACTTGTGACAAAGTTGCAGTTTGATTCCGTAGTTTAGTCGAGGTGAGACTTTATGGGATTATTTCTCTGCAGACCTTGGCAAACTCTCGAAGGCGTCTGAACCACGGTAGTAAGACTTTGCATTTGGTCGAGCAAACAGGAGCCATTTTCCATGGGGACCTCACAAATCTGCCGTTTGGGGACAAGAAGATCCAATGATTCCTGCATCGATGGTGTTAAAAGTATTGGAACCTTTCTCCCTCTTTTTCCTCTAATCTCTATTCTTCTGAAATGTTGGCACAGCTCTATTTCTAAGTCTGAGAGTGCGTCACCGAGGTCTGACAGAGAATCTTGGGTTTTATTGGAGACAAATAGGCTGACTGAGGCATTTTAGACACTTCCCCTGATCTTTGTCTGTTGAATAGAACAATTTGTGTCAAAGTGCTGTCAGGTGCCGGTCCTCCCAAGGTGATAAACACAAACACACACACACACACACACATCTTCTTTGTCCCACTTCTGTTGATCCATTGAGTGGTGAGCATTAGCTGACACCTAAGCGCTCTTAAACTCCTCCAGCAATTCCTCGAACTTTTATGCCCTTTTCTTGTATTTGACATCAACACAAACATGCAGAAGCCTTTCTAGGAGTCAGTGGCCCCTTTCAGAGAAAATCCAATTTTATCCGCTGTAGATGGATTTCCAATTTAATTCTTGTTTGCTTCAAGTGAGGAGATGGGACTGCCAGGTGAAAGAGCTGCCTCCTGCTATTCTGGGGGCATATTGTGACGTACGAAAACACAAAACTCCTGTTATCTCTGTATTTTTATTTTAATATGTGCTAAAACTAGGGCAGATCCAGCTGATAGCATTTAGCTCATCAAAATGATGCGGGAAAGCGCCACAAGGCTATATTTTAACTAATATAAAATATATAAAGTGACCTTTTCAAATAGAAAGCGCCACATGGCTATATTTTAACTAATATACAATCTATAACGTGACCCTTTCAAATAGAAGGAGTGTCATTAGCTATATTTTATTGAACATTTACTAATCGAAGACAGAAGCGCAGCAGCAGGGGATGAGAACTTGTAAGGGATAGCAGCTCCAATGACTGGGACAAAAGCCTGGATCTGCTGAAACCAGAGACACTAAATAATGATCGCAAAATTCCACCATTATACGGCATACACAGCTCCTCCAGTGATTACACGTAGAAACTAAATATGGACAACATTTTCTGGAGCAATTTTTCAGGCGATGGAAGCTTGAACTTTCAAATACCTCGGCGAATAATGCGTTTCATGCGTATATGAACGTACCATAAGGCTCTTGGTATGAGCAGCACTTCGTATCAAAGCCATGACAGAACAAAAGAAAGGCAAGAAGAGTGATTAAGTGTGAAGAGGATTATTAGGCCGAAACAGAATAGTAAGTATGTTTTGCTAAAATCACACATCATGGCCCAGAAAATCAGCCAACGGATTGAGCTCGGTGTTAGTGAGGTTTAAAACTTGTGACAAAGTTGCAGTTTGATTCCGTAGTTTAGTCGAGGTGAGACTTTGTGGGATTATTTCTCTGCAGACCTTGGCAAACTCTCGAAGGCGTCTGAACCACTGTAGTAAGACTTTGCATTTGGTCGAGCAAACAGGAGCCATTTTCCATGGGGACCTCACAAATCTGCCGTTTGGGGACAAGAAGATCCAATGATTCCTGCATCGAAGGTGTCAGAAGTATTGGAACCTTTCTCCATTTTTCCCCTAATCTCTATTCTTCTGAAATGTTGGCACAGCTGTTTTCCTTAAGCCCTGTTCGCACGGGATTAGTTTTACATGTGGACCCCTGGTAATTTGCGATAATCACAGAGAACGTCTGAGATCTGACAGCGCATTCACACGGGATAAGCAATGTCTGTAATTTTCATTGACATCTGACATAATGGCTGCACGTGCACGGGTCTCTGACTCTGCAGCTGTGTACACAGCCGCGATACGCAACTCCTCTGCTCATTGACAAAAACAACGCAGAAAGTAAAGAGAAAGCGGCAATAGCGATCACAATCACTGACAGATTCACAGGATTAGTATTATCAGAGGACGTCTGTGTTTGGACAAATGCAGGAGGTCATTTACGGCGGAATTATTACTTTAATTACAGACATGGAGCATTCGCACGGGACTAAGATCTCAGACATCCTCTGGGATTATCACAAATTACCAGAGGTCCACAGGTAAAACTAATCCTGTGTGAATAGGGTTTAAGTCTGAGAGTGCGTCACCGAGGTCTTCAACAACAACAATTTGTGTCAAAGTGTGCTGTCAAGTGCCGGTCCTCCCAAGGTGATAAAGACAAACACACACTCACTCACTCACTCATACTGACACACACACACACACACACACACACACTTATTGCTGCTCTCCTTTCATTACATTCTCTGTGTTCTGCGTAATCAAATCTGTTTAATTATATGTTTTAGTGTCGTAACCAAACCCTCATTAAAATCCTCTTATTGTTCATAAAGGGTCACCCCCGAGTCGTCGTCCAATCAGACGTCAGAGCTCACATTCATCACATTCAGGCTTTTCCAATTTCCCAGATGCAGATCTTCATCAGTCCTTCCCTCATGACCTAATTATTGACCTTCAATTTTAATATATCGTAGTTATCTCTCGATGACACGAGGATAGTGCCTTCATATTTGTTAATAAAAATGGCCAAGAACATACAATAAGAAACATATTGACCAGATGCATCAACGTCATCCAGTCACGTGATTGTGAATGAGCTTACGGCGGAAGTATTGGAAACTAGCATTAGCATTAGCATTGCTGCGAGAGCAAAACGGACACAACTCTTAAAAACGGAGCTTCCTCTCTTAAATCGAGAAGTGGCTGCTTCAAGCACTGTGTTCGATTACGTTATAGGTGGAAGTAGGACATCAGGTCAGGGCTCTCAAAGAGTGATATTTGGAGAAGTTAAGGATTGATTAACTGGATGTCGACTTGTACCTTCTCCCCCCAGTCAATTTTATCGATTAAATAAAATGTCTATTTTTGCCCGAATTCACCCTGCATGATCTTTATCATTATCGTTAACAATGCATCCCCTCACACTGGAGCAGATTTATATGTACATTTAGCTGGTAGCATTAGCAATAGTCCACTTTTCTGTGGCTTTTCTGTCTACAGCCAAACATGATACGTACTGACGGAGAGGAAAATAGTGAAACACGCAATTGACTTAAAAGATAAAAATGTCAATGTTGCAGCGCACAGACAGGACAGTAGTAAGAGACACGTTTGACGTGTGTCATTGTCCTCCAAATGAATGGAAATAAAATAAATACAAACTTGTGATTGCTTTATCTTGTAAAAAGTGTTCACTGCATATTAGGGAGTACTTGGATGGGTCCCAGTCCTTTTGGTTGATTTCCGCCATCGTCGTCTTCTGTCTTCATGACGAGCAGGTATCAGATAAAAAAGCGTATGTCCGTGCCTGTTAGTATAATCAACCGCACTGCAAAATGTCACAGTTTTGGCTGTAATGCGCTGAAACAGGTTGTTTTGGTCAGGTGTCTGTAGGCTCCAGTTAGACTTCTGCCGTCTGTCATGGAGAGTGGGCGTGGCCGGGACGTTACATACAAGGGGTCAATACTGTAGTTACATAATGAAGAGAAGGTTCATTTAAAACTTCTGCAAAACAAAGACATGGAGACAGAATGTTGGAAAGATTAAGATGAAGAGATTCTTTATTCGTCCCACTGTGGGGAAAGTCAGGTACATCAGCTTTAAATACCTGTAGCTTTCAAAATGTTGGGCGGCACCTTTATCTGAGTGGTTAACAGTGTCGCTTCTCAGCAAGAAGGTCCTGGGTTCAAATTCCGCTTTCTGTGTGGAGTTTGCATCTTCTCCACCTGTCTGCTCTGGTATCCTTCAGATGCTCCGGTTTCCTCCAGATGCTCCGGTATCCTCCAGATGCTCCGGTATCCTCCAGATGCTCCGGTTTCCTCCAGATGCTCCGGTTTCCTCCAGATGCTCCAGTTTCCTCCAGATGCTCCGGTATCCTCCAGATGCTCCGGGATCCTCCAGATGCTCCGGGATCCTCCAGATGCTCCGGGATCCTCCAGATGCTCCGGGATCCTCCAGATGCTCGGGTTTAGTTTAGTTTAGTTTATTGATGTATTTCAACAGGGACAATGTGCAAATACATTAATTAAAGATGCTTTGCACCAGATTTAGCTTGAGCTAGTTTCCATCTGCAGTCCCTGAGCAGGTGAGTCACAACATGTACAATATAAAATATATTTAACCACTCAAATACAAATATTCATTCATACATTCACCCGTTACATCCGGTAACGGCTCCGGTATCCTCCAGATGCTCCGGTATCCTCCAGATTCCGGTTTCCTCCAGATGCTCCAGTTTCCTCCAGATGCTCCGGTATCCGCCAGATGCTCCGGTATCCTCCAGATGCTCCAGTTTCCTCCAGATGCTCCGGTATCCTCCAGATGCTCCAGTTTCCTCCAGATGCTCCGGTATCCTCCAGATTCCGGTTTCCTCCAGATGCTCCAGTTTCCTCCAGATGCTCCGGTATCCGCCAGATGCTCCGGTATCCTCCAGATGCTCCAGTTTCCTCCAGATGCTCCGGTATCCTCCAGATGCTCCGGTATCCTCCAGATGCTCCAGTTTCCTCCAGATGCTCCGGTATCCTCCAGATGCTCCGGTATCCTCCAGATGCTCCGGTATCCTCCAGATGCTCCAGTTTCCTCCAGATGCTCCGGTATCCGCCAGATGCTCCGGTATCCTCCAGATGCTCCAGTTTCCTCCAGATGCTCCGGTATCCTCCAGATTCCGGTTTCCTCCAGATGCTCCAGTTTCCTCCAGATGCTCCGGTATCCGCCAGATGCTCCGGTATCCTCCAGATGCTCCAGTTTCCTCCAGATGCTCCGGTATCCTCCAGATGCTCCGGTATCCTCCAGATGCTCCAGTTTCCTCCAGATGCTCCAGTTTCCTCCAGATGCTCCAGTTTCCTCCAGATGCTCCGGTATCCTCCAGATGCTCCGGTATCCTCCAGATGCTCATTTACAAAAGGCAATAATCCTCCAGCTCTGGCTCTGAACAAGATCATCAACGTCCCTGTTACTACGGCGACCACTGCTGAGGCTCTTACAATGGGCCAAATGCAGAGGACACTTTCCCAACAGGAAAAATACAGTTTAACTTCACTTTCACTGATGTCCATAACTCTTGCCTCATAATTACCCACGAGCCGCGATTCACTCGAGCCAAATGCTGTGACTAATGTTGCGGTCGATATGAAGACATCTGTCGGGGCCTCAGTGGCTCCGGAGATCACGGGCTGGTGCTCTGTGGATCAGGGGCTGGTGCTCTGTGGATGCAGCTCTGACTAACACCCCCGACCCAGAAATGGATTAGAAAATGGATGGATGGATCTCTCTCTCTACAGCCGACATGTCCAAACTCCCCTATCACAGCGCTCCGTCGTCTGAAGGAGTCATCCATTGTGTTTGCTTGTGTGTCTGGAGAGTAAGTAATGTTTATTTATATAGCGCCTTTCACAGACCAGAGTCACAAAGCGGTTTACAGTTGTTATTTGTGGGCATTAGTCTCTCCCTCCACACAGAGATGGGAGCGGGGCCAGTACAGGAGGCACAGACCTATTGTACATGTTTTTAGTGGTAGGGGAAACCGGAGCAGACACAGGGAGAACATGCAAACTCCACTCAGAACGGCCCTGTTCCGACGGGATTCGAACCCAGGACCTTCTTGCTGAGAGGTGAGAGTGCTAACCACTCTGCCAACGTGCCGCCCGTCAGTAAACGTTGGTCATTCAGCCAACTTCAGCTTTGTCAAATGTGACCCCATCACACCTCCCTTTTGTCCCATTCTCTGCGTTAAACATCACAGTTTTGTTTGGCCTCAGACAAATCCCCAGAGTTGTTTTTTCATTGATTTCCTCGAGTTTTATTTGAGAGCAATCTTTCTCTTTCATTTTCCAGAAGCAGCAAAACGACTTCAATTTGACGATGCGAGAAATCAAACAGCGATTCAGCACATTCAGCCTCTGCTGTTCGTTCTGCTTCTATCAGCGACTAAAAGTGTTTGCGTTTGTTCTCAGGCTGTGACTCTGAAATCTGCAACGAATCTGTTCATCTACGAGCGACACTCCAAAGACTGATCCAGAACCACTGTGGACCACTGTTAGCTCCATCCTGAGGGTCTCCAGGACAGAAGGCTCTATATGACTGTGGTACTGCAGCCTCTCCCACTCTCCCTGACTCAGGTTGCCAGATATGCAGACGAATCCAGCTGGGACCATAACAGCTGAATAGACAAAAACAAATCTATAACCAACACCTTTTTCACAAAGATAGAAATCCTGCTTTTATTCCTTGTTTTGTCGTTAATGATTTGAGAATCATAACCAGACCTTGCAGACCACAGGTTGATATGATTCAAAACAACAATAATTCAGTGTTTTTCACTTTAATGCAGAAAATCAAGTGTAGAAACATGTGTCAGAAACCTTTATTACAACAGTAAATATCAGTTGGCAACAGTTACACTTCAACACTTCACACACAAGGACACACTACACAAATATCTAACAACACAACAGACAAAATATAACTTCACACAAATTAATCCTTGCTCTACACACAATATACTACAGTAATATAGCATGGGCCTGGTCTTGGGCCTGGTCTTGGGCCTAGTCTTGGGCCTAGTCTTGGTACTGGTCTTGGGCCTGCTCTTGGGCCTGGTCTTGGGCCTAGTCTTGGTACTAGTCTTGGTACTGGCGATGGCTCATGTTGTGATTTTAACAGCTCTATGAAAAAATCTACAAGCGCTGTGCTCTGATTGGTCAAGGTAGAACCACACAATCCATTTTGAGTGTTTGAAGTTTGGAACCTTTTAGATATATCGCTTTGACACAGATATTGTGGAGTTTGAGACGGGATTTTAGCTTCTTTCTAGTGGAGTCCAAAGATCCTCCTGTTCTCGCTTATATTAAGACACTATCATTATAATCTATGTCAGGAAGCCGGAGATGCAGATTCAAAGCCTGGTCCTCATTCGGTCTTGGTTTAGTCTTGGTCCAGTCCCAGTTCAGACCAGTCCACAGCTGTCTTGGTCCCAGTTCAGACCAGTCCACAGCTGTCTTCACTAACTACGTGAAGATATAAAACGGTCTCTCTATGTTTGTGATCAGATGTCAGTCTATGAAGGTCAGTGAAAAGAGAACGCATGAGAGCTCCTTCCTTCAGATCGCCGTTCTGACCTTTACCAGTAACACGACCAAAGCCCATAGCGTCTGTTTACCACGATCTCTGTCGTTGGTAAAAGGTGAGTCCCGATCGAACTGGTTCTGATGGTCCGGAGCAGATTTAGAGCAGTGTCCTCCATCTTCCATCGGGTTCATGGAGCAGGAGGAGATGTTTGTCCGCTCACAACAGTCCACTATGATCTATGAGTAGTAGGTTTGGCCCCTTTGAGAGATCCCTGAGTAAAAATAAATGTTTCAATAAACTTTCTAGAGGAACTCATTGACAGGTGTTTAAATAGACTCATGACGTCTATTGGATAAAACATTATAGAATGAAGAGAGGATATGAAGTAAACATAGAGACACCACAGTATATGTTAACAAGACAGATACCACATACAAAGAAATACATTACACCGGAGCGGCCCCTCAGTAGATTCCTTATCCTTAGAAAATACAAACATTATAAAAACACTGAGAAATCAACATCATAATTTAACCCCAGAAAAGCAGTTTATCTATCCAGAACGTTTCTCTTTTTGCAAGTCTTTTTACTCTGTCCCCACCTCTCAGACTGGCAGGGATCGCCTCAATGACCATGGCTTGTAAGTGACTCAGATTGTGTCCAACTGAAGAAAAGTGCGTAGCCATGGGATAGTTTGGATTTTTGGTTTTTGTATTTGTTTTGTCTTTTATGTCATGTGGACGTCCTCTCTCCATTCTCTAAAGTTTTATTCAATGGAGGTTTTTTTCATGTCATGTGACGAGTCCAGTGGACGTCATGAGTTTTTAATACTGCCCCAAAGAAGGCCCTGCTTGGCCGAAACGCTTTGGTCCCATTCCTCATTAAAGGGACCATCTGGAAATGGCATTAAATTGATTCTGATTCTGATGAAGGTCCACAGAGTGATTTGGCTCCAACGTGTGATCTACTGTGACCACGCAGAGCTTTTGAAAGAGCTGTGCCTACGGTGTCATCAGGGGTCTCCAACATGTTCACCCAGAGAGCTACTTTTGTGGACGATAAAGGCAGAGAGCTACTCTTTTAAGCAGTCCTGGGAAAAAGCCTGATAACTGGGTATTGTCATTATTTATCATCACATGTTTGTTACAAGAGACAACGTAAGTGCATTTACAATAATACATTATGATATTGATTAATACGATCTGAAATATTTAAGGAGCAATATGTGCAAATGTGGCCAAAAGTGGTACTGCAGCCTCTCCCACTGTCCCTGACTCAGGTTGCCAGATATGCAGACGAATCCATCTGGCACCATAACAGCTGAATAGACAAGAGTTTTGTCAACAACAAATCTATAACCAACCCCTTTTTCACAAAGATAGAAATCCTGGTTTTATTCCTTGTTTAGACCTTTTTTAGTTCTGCTCCACATGGTACTTTACCAGTGAGATTAGCTCCACGCGGTGAGTTCTGGCGCCCGGATCACAGACTTTCACGATTTAGAGGCTGGAAAAGTATTTTAGAAATTCAAATATCTCTGAACTACTGTTATCAGTTAACGAAGTATTGGAAAAGAGCAGTTTATTTGGGCCCTTTAATGATGACGGATTAGGGCCCTTTAATGATGACAGATTAGGGCCCTTTAATGAGGACAGATTAGGGCCCTTTAATGAGGACAGATTAGGGCCCTTTAATGATGACAGATTAGGATCCTTTAATGATGACAGATTAGGGCCCTTTAATGAAGACAGATTAGGGCCCTTTAATGATGACAGATTAGGGCCCTTTAATGAAGACAAATTAGGGCCCTTTAATGATGACAAATTAGGGCCCTTTAATGATGACAGATTAGGGCCAATAATGATGACAGATTAGGGCCTTTAATGATGACAGATTAGGGCCCTTTAATGATGACAGATTAGGATCCTTTAATGAGGACAGATTAGGGCCCTTTAATTATGACAGATTAGGGCCCTTTAATGATGACAGATTAGGGCCCTTTAATGAAGACAGATTAGGGCCCTTTAATGATGACAAATTAGGGCCCTTTAATGAGGACAGATTAGGGCCCTTTAATGAGGACAGATTAGGGCCCTTTAATGATGACAGATTAGGATCCTTTAATGAGGACAGATTAGGGCCCTTTAATTATGACAGATTAGGGCCCTTTAATGATGACAGATTAGGGCCCTTTAATGAAGACAGATTAGGGCCCTTTAATGATGACAAATTAGGGCCCTTTAATGATGACAGATTAGGGCCAATAATGATGACAGATTAGGGCCCTTTAATGATGACAGATTAGGGTCAATAATGATGACAGATTAGGGCCCTTTAATGATGACAGATTAGGGCCCTTTAATGATGACAGATTAGGGCCCTTTAATGATGACAGATTAGGGCCCTTTAATGATGACAAATTAGGGCCCTTTAATGATGAGAGATTAGGGCCAATAATGATGACAGATTAGGGCCCTTTAATGATGACAGATTAGGGTCAATAATGATGACAGATTAGGGCCCTTTAATGATGACAGATTAGGGCCCTTTAATGATGTCAGATTAGGGCCCTTTAATGATGACAGATTAGGGTCAATAATGATGACAGATTAGGGCCCTTTAATGATGACAGATTAGGGCCCTTTAATGATGTCAGATTAGGGCCCTTTAATGATGACTGGATGAAAATAGTACATACTGCTCCTTTTAACTATATAATTCCATTTGTCTCTTTCTAAATCCTTTGGCGAGCTGCTGGTTGGAGACCCCGGTTGTACATAGGGCACTTTTGCGTCGGTATGTTTTTACACTCTTCTTAATAAACCGTTAACATAAAAAAAAAAATCACTTACGCTGCACTGAAGAACGAGCACTTTCCATATCGAACAAGTTAAAACACAGAATACTACACAAATATATCAACAAAACTTAAATCTTAATCCAGTTTGTTCTGGTTGAAATATGAGCTCAACCTCAGCTTCAGACCCTGTCCAAGTTAGTCACATTGAAGTGAAATACCAGAGAGACCAGAGAGAGACCAGAGAGAGACCAGAGAGAGAGACTAGAGAGAGACTAGAGAGAGACCAGAGAGAGACCAGAGAGAGACCAGAGAGAGATAAGAGAGAGACCAGAGAGAGACCAGAGAGAGACCAGAGAGAGACCAGAGAGAGATAAGAGAGAGATAAGAGAGAGACCAGAGAGAGATAAGAGAGAGAGGCAAAAGAGATGGACCAGAGAGACACGAGAGAGACCGGATCAGAACCACTGAGATAGACCAGAGAGAGACCACACATGGTCTCTGTTTGTCGCTGTTAGAGAAACATCTCCTGAAGTCCGTGTCTCTGGAGTGAGCGGTGAACCCTTCACAGAAGTCTGGTCTTGATCCCAGTGCGTCACAGCGCCACCTACAGGCCAGCAGAGGCTCACATATATATTCATACAGACATATTGACTTATTTCATGTGGACACAAACATTCACTGAGCTGACAGTTCAAGTGTTTGAACACAAAATACATGTTTACTTTTCTTTTACTCGACCCTCTTTAAGTGAGTCATTAAATCATTTTTATTTATGTACCGCACATTCTACTGAGCAACATCAAAGCTTCACAATGTGTTGGGGATCTTTGACAGCCGGCCCCCGGGCCAATCCTGGCCCTCAGTGTCATTGTATGTGGCCCTCTTCCTTGCTAACTGAAAGTTCAGTGTCATCCAGCCAACTTTAGCTCTGCTTACACAGAAATGTTGTGCAATGTCTTTTCAGATATGGCGCTAATGTGAGAAGGTAAACATTCTGTGAATGATGTCATCCTCAGGACCATGTGGGCGTGGGCTCGCTGGTTCACTGTCACTTGTTAATGGTGACCGTTACTGGGAGCATGTTCTGCAGCAGCTCCCCCGAGGACTGGTCCGGAGCCAGCCGCAGGTGCATGCTGCCATCCCCCGCCAAAGGCGCCACACGAAAGCTCCGGTAGGTGGAGCGCACCGCCACCAGGAAGTGCCTCTTGAAGGTGTCGCTCAGAGCGATGTAGATGAAAGGGTTGATGCAGCTGTTGGCGTAGCCCAGGCTGATGGCGATGTTGTAGGCGTACATGAAGGCGAAGGACGGCCGCTGCACCCCGAGGTGCACCAGCTGCAGGATGTAGTGCGGCGCCCAGCAGAGGAAGAAGGCGGCGCAGATGGCCACCGCCATGCGCGTCACTTTACGTGTGCGGATCCTCAGGCTGCGCTGTGGAAGCGGCGCCACCGTCACCGACATGGTCTGAAGAATCTTGACAAAAACGCTGCAGATGACGACCAGCGGCAGCGCGAAGGCCAACACGAACTGGTACAGCGTGAACCAGTAAGTGTCGGTGGCCGGGTTCGGCAGCAGCAGCGCGCAGCCCACCGTACCGTCCCGCAGCGGCATGAGCCCGGTGTACAGCCACACGGGAGTGATGGACACCAGCGAGAACACCCAGACCAGCGCCACGGCGGCCCCGGCCATGAACGGCGTGCGCACGTGCTTGAAGCGAATGGGGTGCACCGTGGCGAGGTAGCGGTCCAGCGTCATGACCGTGAGGATGTAGGTGCTGACGATCTGGCTGTTGGAGTCCAGCGCCGTGATGACGGTGCAGAGGGCGGCGCCGAAGCACCAGGAGCCGCGGCCGACCAGCTGGTGGATGAGGAAGGGCATGCCCAGGAGGAAGAGGAGGTCGGCCATGGACAGGCTGAAGATGAAGATGTCCGGGCCTGTATGCTGGGAGCACAGCTTGGTCTTCTTGACGATGGTGTAGATGACGATGGTGTTGCCGAGGAGACCGAGGAGGCAGATGACGCCGAAGATACTGGGCATGAGCACCGTGGTGTACCGCTCGTAGTCTGCGGAGGAGAAAAGCCTCGTTACTGACAGAAAAGTCTAATGTACTAATTATTAATGAATGTTTTTCATTCAGTCCATGTCAGCTCTGTTTGAACAGACGGAAACGTTACGTAAGAATGATGAAGATGAAGATGAAAAATGTTTTGAAACGCTTTGGTGAGAGACGGAAAGGTTTATTCTTTATTACAAGAGAAAGGTCAATTCTAAACACACACACACACATACACACACACACACACACACAGACACAGACACACACACACATACACACATACAGTACACACACATACACACACACACACATACACACACACACAGACACACACACACACACACATACACACACATACACACACACACACACACATACACACACACACAGACACACACACACACACACACACACATAATGACATTGACAAGAGGACAAAGTGCTTTACAATGTTCAGAGTTTTCAACTAATGAGTCTCTTTTGAGTTACTTTACATTTGTGAGTTTCCCTGTGGTCTTATCTGGGGGGTCGGACTCAGTCCTGGGTCTACAGTCTCAGTCCTGGGTCTACAGCTTCAGTCCTGGGTCTACAGCCTCAGTCCTGGATCTACAGCCTCAGTCCTGGATCTACACAGTATTCACATTTCTGGACCAATGTGTTATTATTGTCCTGTATTTCCTGCGTTCACAATGTTTGATTCTCTGATCTGTTGCTGGCGAATCAACACATTTGTAAAACCTGCTGATTTTGGGCTACAAACTGAATTAAATATTGTACTTCTTGGTGGGAGTCTCCCCTTAACAACACATAATGATAAACATAGATTATTACTATTGTTAGCTTTTCAGAATGATCAATTTGCTGCTACCCCACACCTGAACTTAGATATAAAGACAGTTGTATTGCCCGACATTGTCTTTCTTGTCTGACCTTGACGATGGTGTGTTTCTCAGACTGTGGTCCTGGTACCTGCCCATTCGTGTGGAGATGTAATGTTCTGCGTCGGAAGCTATTTCCATTCTGACATGTTATGGCGCCAAACTCTCTGCATTTGCCCTTGTCTGTCTGCTCCTGCAGCGGTGGACACTCAGACGCCTCGACACGGACCATAACTGCCCCTTCTCTGATTTTCTCACGATCCTCTTTCTTCACAGGATGAAAATGGAGCTTATATCTCACACTATCAGACACCTGGTTCAGCAGAGCGGTCTCAGAGCTGACTCAGGTCTGCTGCTCTGGGGCTGATGATGCAGGGCCATAATTGGTGCTTTGTGTGTCACTAATTAACTAAGTGGGTGATTGAGTCTCTTGTACATCCACATCCACATTTCACTGCCAAGAACTTTGTAAAGTCCTCAAAGGTGATGGAGGAATCAGTGAACAATACAACTGATTTAAAGAGAACATTCTGAGTCCGTTCTGTTATTTAATGATACATATTTCAATAAATGGTTCATTTGAGCAACAATAGAAAAGTGAGGCGGGTGAATCATCCACATTTCACAGACGGACAAAAGAAAAGTGATAAGAAATGTTAGTGAACACTGAGGTCTGGGAAAATCTACCATTGGTCCATGTAGGCTGCAGTACCGCGAGTGGCCTCTAGTCCATGTGGATATAGGCTGCAGTACCGTGAGTGGCCTCTAGTCCATGTGGATACAGGCTGCAGTACCGTGAGTGGCCTCTAGTCTATGTGGATCTAGGCTGCAGTACCGTGAGTGGCCTCTAGTCCATGTGGATATAGGCTGCAGTACCGTGAGTGGCCTCTAGTCTATGTGGATTCAGGCTGCAGTACCGTGAGTGGCCTCTAGTCTATGTGGATATAGGCTGCAGTACCGCGGATAGCCTCAAGTCCGTGTAAATATAGGCTGCAGTACCGTGTGTAGCCTCTAGTCCATGTGGATTCAGGCTGCAGTACCGTGAGTGGCCTCTAGTCCATGTGGATTCAGGCTGCAGTACCGTGAGTGGCCTCTAGTCTATGTGGATATAGGCTGCAGTACCGTGAGTGGCCTCTAGTCCATGTGGATATAGGCTGCAGTACCGTGAGTGGCCTCTAGTCTATGTGGATATAGGCTGCAGTACCGTGAGTGGCCTCTAGTCCATGTGGATATAGGCTGCAGTACCGTGTGTAGCCTCTAGTCCATGTGGATATAGGCTGCAGTACCGTGTGTAGCCCCTAGTCCATGTGAAGAGTGTTAAGCAGCAGCACCCTTTGGTCTGAGCACAGTATAAAAACAGCTCCAACTTCAGGACATTTTAAACGACTTTAACAAAGACGCTGTAACTGCAGTAACTTTGTGCAGTCTTTGCATCACTGTGATGCAGAAAAGTGCCTTCCCAGTGGGGAGTGCACTCACAGGATATTCTCCCTAAGAACTGGGACACCCCTGGATCTAGGGGACAATATTCAGATGAGCAGCAGACGTGTTCCACGTCACACACATGATCAAAGTGTGTGATTTCACCACAGATAAGATCTGACACACACATGACTTTATGAAACACAGTATTTACTAAAATGAGACGTTTTTAATTCTATTTCATATGAAGATTTGCTATAATTAGGTACAGAACTGATGCATGTCACGCACTTAGAGACAGTGGCACACATACACACATGTACACACACAGAGGCCGACACACACACACACACAGACGCATGTACAAACACATGAACACACACAGACACACACACATACAGACGCATGTACAAACACATGAACACACACAGACGCTCACAGACACACACACACACACATACATAAGCTAATTATACAAAAGCTAATCTAAAAGAGTGTGTCCTGAGCCTGCTTTTAAGAATATGAATGACCTTTTGACACTGATTCTCAATCACAGCTTTTCTACTATAATGAAACCCACGGGGCTCTGAACCCACTCTCTTCTGCTGTTCTCTCCATCCACGGGTTTGAAGGTAAGATGCATTTCATATTTATAAGAATTGATTAGGAATAGTGTTCTTTTGACAGTAGACGGTTTGGAAACAGCGGACATCGAGGTGGTCCTAGTGCTAGAAGAGTTTGGTTTTGATTCCAGCTTCTTCCTTCTGAAGTTATCGTTCGCTGAGATGCAGAAAATATCAATATGATCAGTTTAAACACGGCATCTTTACTTTTATCTTTGTTTTATTTCTGTATTTTTAACCTTATTGTATTTCTGTACTTGTCTGGTGCACACCGGGGACTTGGGCAAATGTATTCCAATGTGGTTTTACTGCAAATGTCAAATAAACTGAATCTGAATTATGTATTTTAAATTTACAATTGACAATAAAAGAGCTAAAGCTGTCTGTCCTTCATACGGGCCCAGAGTAGTTGCTCCATAGACAGAGACAGTAAAGAAGTGTCTGTGCTTTCTGTGTTAGCTTCATGTGACTAAAGTGTTAGCTTCACTGTAATGGTGCTTTCAGACCGGGACAGTCGTTGCGTCTGCGTTCAATGCAAAGTCTATGGTGGCGCGCGTTCGCCCGTCACAACGCACAGACCGCTCGGTTCGCACGAACGGACTGTTCAATAATGACGCACGGACTTGGCGGGAAAGTGAAAAAGGAGGAGCAGGAGCGAAAAATCAACGCCCACAGGAGATGGATTCTGCTCATCCTTTCCTCGGGACGTTCGTGCGACAACCAATCAGAGAGCAGCAAAGTGGTCACGGGGACATTAGCGGACTGAGCGAGCAGACTGAAAATACTCATAAACAGCCAAAACAGGACCCACACCAGACTTCACCAGAACTCAAACCAGGGTTGACAATGGGGGACTCTGTGCTTGTGAATATATGCGTTGTCATGCTCCCGTGACCTTATGCAACTGCTTCGAGTGTGTTCGCCGATGCGGAAATACTGTTTAATAACATGAAAACACGTATGGTGCACCTCCGTGAACACATACTACTGTTATATAAAGCCCGTGGAATGTCTGTGAGCAAAGACACGCTGCAAAGCTGCATATTGGAGAAGATCTGTACACAAGAAGCCACTAGCATAGCTCTGTTAGCATCAGAGCTGGCCGGCTACTTCCGGTACTTCCAGCTCGCGTCAGGACGTTCTGGTGTGAAGACCTCTGCGTCTGAAAACTAGAGAATGCGCGTCTGGTGAGCGGGGCTTCCGCGTTTCAGCGTTTTCGGTCTGAAAGCCCCATAAATGTGTTTCATTAGAGGGATCCTGCGGTCACGTGACTAGCAGCCACGGCGGCCATACTGGAGGACAACCTCGGTGAGTAACAGCCATGCTAGCTATCTATAAATGCACTCTCTCGAACTACAAAGAATTTGAAAAATAAGCAGTTTGTGACCCAAATATATACTCAACCTAACTCCATGAATCAGATCCTCTGCAAATGCGTCCTAAAATGTATTATTAATGTCAATGGTTACTTCCGGGTTTACCGCGGTCGCTTTATTTTTGTCTCAAAATCATTAACAGATCATTTTGAAAACTTCCATGTATTAAGAATGTATTTGTATAATGTTTTCTCCCATTAACATATCAATGTGTCGATTCTTACTCCATGGATCTATGTGTGGCTACACTGCCGTGGAAATAATTAAATTACATTCAAATCAATGGAGCTTTCTGCGCCTACTGTGAGGAGATATTTATTAATAAATACTAGTACGGGGCCTGTGAGCTGGGTGAGGTCCTGTGAGCTGGGTGAGGCCCTGTGAGCTGGGTGAGGCCCTGTGAGCTGGGTGAGGTCCTGTGAGCTGGGTGAGGCCCTGTGAGCTGGGTGAGGCCCTGTGAGCTGGGTGAGGCCCTGTGAGCTGGGTGAGGTCCTGTGAGCTGGGTGAGGCCCTGTGAGCTGGGTGAGGTCCTGTGAGCTGGGTGAGGTCCTGTGAGCCGGGTGAGGTCCTGTGAGCTGGGTGAGGCCCTGTGAGCTGGGTGAGGCCCTGTGAGCTGGGTGAGGCCCTGTGAGCTGGGTGAGGCCCTGTGAGCTGGGTGAGGTCCTGTGAGGTCCTGTGAGGCCCTGTGAGCTGGGTGAGGCCCTGTGAGCTGGGTGAGGCCCTGTGAGCTGGGTGAGGCCCTGTGAGCTGGGTGAGGCCCTGTGAGCTGGGTAGCTGGGTGAGGCCCTGTGAGCTGGGTGAGGCCCTGTGAGCTGGGTGAGGTCCTGTGAGCTGGGTGAGGTCCTGTGAGCTGGGTGAGGTCCTGTGAGCTGGGTGAGGCCCTGTGAGCTGGGTGAGGTCCTGTGAGGCCCTGTGAGCTGGGTGAGGCCCTGTGAGCTGGGTGAGGTCCTGTGAGCTGGGTGAGGTCCTGTGAGCTGGGTGAGGCCCTGTGAGCTGGGTGAGGTGCGAGAGCAACCCCACTTTGCAGTCAGACTATATATATAATAATATATAATATATAAGTCTATATTATCCTTAAACTTCTGATTGTTTCGGAATAACATTAAATCCCTCACCAAATGAATTGTACCTTTGCTCACGATGGACCGGGAAATGAAGAAAAGCGTTTGATTCTCTGATCTGTGCTGACGAGAGGTCGATACAAAAATAAAATGAATTGAGTAAAACCAGACACAGTGGTTTTCACCTCATGAGGCTAAATATATCAAAGTATGATTTTTACCTGAGGCCCGGAGAGGCCCGGAGAGGCAGAGGCTCAGAGCGGCTTTAAAGATGAAGATAAAGTCTAAACCTGAAGAACAATTTGTGACTTTTATTTGCAAAGAGGATGTTTTTTCGGATCGTCAGACTCGGCTCAGCACGAGTTTGTGTTTGTGAGTTTTGCTGGGATCTGGACAAAATGGAGTCTCGCCGTTGCCGTGGCGACCGACAGCGATGGCGGCGACAAAGAAAGAGCACTTATGAAGAAACAGTAATAGCCATAAATGTGGAGAAAAGGTTCAGGACCATGCTCCACGCCAGTCCCTGTGCTCCTCAGAGTCCCAGCAGGAGGCCAGTCCCTGTGCTCCTCAGAGTCCCAGCAGGAGGCCAGTCCCTGTGCTCCTCAGAGTCCCAGCAGGAGGCCAGTCCCTGTGCTCCTCAGAGTCCCAGCAGGAGGCCAGTCCCTGTGCTCCTCAGAGTCCCAGCAGGAGGCCTGTCCCTGTGCTCCTCAGAGTCCCAGCAGGAGGCCGGTCCCTGTGCTTCTCAGAGTCCCAGCAGGAGGCCGGTCCCTGTGCTCCTCAGAGTCCCAGCAGGAGGCCGGTCCCTGTGCTCCTCAGAGTCCCAGCAGGAGGCCGGTCCCTGTGCTCCTCAGAGTTGGTCATTTATGGCACTAACATGGAGAGTCTTGTATCTGTTTAAAATCTCTCTTCTGAGCCACGTGACGCCACAGGGACCTGAGACCAGGACTAACGTGAGAGGACAATCTGAGGAGACGCAGCCCACCTCCTCCATCTATAATCTGGGGAGACGCAGCCCACCTCCTCCATCTATAATCTGAGGAGACGCAGCCCACCTCCTCCATCTATAATCTGGGGAGACGCAGCCCACCTCCTCCATCTATAATCTGGGGAGACGCAGCCCACCTCCTCCAATCTGAGTCTGTGTCTGTGGAAGTACGGACCACTCTGCAGAAGTGCTCTCAGGCACGCGTTTGAGAATCAATTCACGGTTTTCACTGAAGTGGAACGGACTTTGAGCTTGTTCATTCTGCTGTCACGTGCCGAGGTCCCAGAGGCGAGGTCCCAGAGGCGAGGTCCCAGGGGCGAGGTCCCAGAGGCGAGGTCCCAGAGGCGAGGTCCCAGAGGCTAGGTCCCAGGGGCGAGGTCCCAGAGGCGAGGTCCCAGAGGCGAGGTCCCAGAGGCGAGATCCCAGAGGCGAGATCCCAGAGGCGAGGTCCCAGAGGCGAGGTACCAGAGGCAAGGTCCCAGAGGCGAGGTCCCAGGGGCGAGGTCCCAGAGGCGAGATCCCAGAGGCGAGGTCCTAGAGGCGAGGTCCCAGAGGCGAGGTCCGAGAGGCGAGGTCCCAGAGGCGAGGTCCCAGAGGCGAGATCCCAGAGGCGAGGTCCCAGAGGCTAGGTCCCAGGGGCAAGGTCCCAGAGGCAAGGTCCCAGAGGCGAGATCCCAGAGGCGAGGTCCCAGCGGCGAGGTCCCAGAGGCGAGGTCCCAGAGGCGAGGTCCCAGAGGCGAGGTCCCAGAGGCGAGGTCCAAGAGGCGAGGTCCCAGAGGCGAGGTCCCAGAGGCGAGATCCCAGAGGCGAGGTCCCAGAGGCGAGGTCCCAGAGGCGAGGTCCCAGAGGCGAGGTCCAAATGGATTTGATAGAACTGCAGTGTAGGTTGATCACGTATTTCATTTCATCAGATCCTCACCACAGCTTTCAACGCTCTCTTTGTGTAGCGCTGGGTCTACAGCCTCAGTCCTGGGTCTACAGCCTCAGTCCTGGATCTACAGCCTCAGTCCTGGGTCTACAGCCTCAGTCCTGGGTCTACAGCCTCAGTCCTGGGTCTACAGTCTCAGTCCTGGGTCTACAGCCTCAGTCCTGGGTCTACAGCCTCAGTCCTGGGTCTACAGCCTCAGTCCTGGGTCTACAACCTCAGTCCTGGGTCTACAGCCTCAGTCCTGGGTCTACAGCCTCAGTCTAAATCCACATTATCAACATAACAGGACAATAGTCATTTCACTCTCTATCCGTTCGTCATGAGGGATTCTCTGATCTGTTCTTGGTGAATTAACAACTTTGTGTAGTGCGTTCAGGAAATGTCATTGATTTGAAGTATATGGGCCAAATTATTCAAATCAATGAAAAAAACAGTAATAACATTAAATTACTATATTTAGAAAGAGTAGAAATGCCTAAACACAGATTGATATTAGCCACAGTCACTGATGTAAAACCTGCATCTCTCTGATTATGACAAATGGCTCCAGTTCTAATAATCCAGTTGTGATAATCCAGTTCTAATCATCCAGTTCTGATAATCCAGTTCTAATAATCCAGTTCTGATAATCCAGTTCTGATAATCCAGTTCTAATAATCCAGTTCTAATAATCCAGTTCTGATAATCCAGTTCTGATAATCCAGTTCTAATAATCCAGTTCTAATAATCCAGTTCTGATAATCCAGTTCTAATAATACAGTTCTAATAATCCAGTTCTAATAATCCAGTTCTGATAATCCAGTTCTAATAATCCAATTCTAATAATCCAGTTCTGATAATCCAGTTCTAATAATTCAGTTCTAATAATCCAGTTCTGATAATCCAGTTCTAATAATCCAGTTCTAATAATCCAGTTCTGATAATCCAGTTCTAATAATTCAGTTCTAATAATCCAGTTCTGATAATCCAGTTCTGATAATCCAGTTCTAATAATCCAGTTCTGATAATCCAGTTCTAATAATCCAGTTCTAATAATCCAGTTATGATAATCCAGTTCTAATAATTCAGTTCTAATAATCCAGTTCTGATAATCCAGTTCTGATAATCCAGTTCTAATAATCCAGTTCTGATAATCCAGTTCTAATAATCCAGTTCTGATAATCCAGTGGGACGAGGAACAATCAGGACCGGGGTGGACTGCTGATGACAGAAGTCCTGATGATGCACTGATGTGTTTTTGTGCACATGTATGAACTGATGAGTTGTGTTGGCACCGAGGCCGTTCTGTTTTCTGCTCATAAACGTGAAGGAGGTGAAAAGAGCCAGCTCCTCGTCGGCCTCAGTCAGAAGCTGTTTCGTGCCAATTTCTTTCTGATTCGTAGAAACTCATGAATATATTCAAATGACTGGTCTTTGTGTCGAGCTGCGGCAGTGTCAGGAAGTAATACCACTATTATGTTAAATAAAATCACTACTATATGAAGTAATACCACTAATGCAGGTCCTTCTAAAACAATTAGCATATTGAGATAAACTTTTCTCTAATGAACTGATAAACACTAGACTTTCATATATTTTAGATTCATTACACACAACTGAAGTAGTTCAAGCCTTTTATTGTTTTAATATTGATGAATTTGGCAAAAAAGTAAAGAAAAACCAAAAAATCTAAAAAAATTAGCATATTTCATCCGACCAATAAAAGTGTTTTTAATACAAAAAATGTCAACCTCCAAATAATAATGTTCACTTTTGCTCTCAATACTTGATCAGAAATCCTGTTGTAGAAATGAATGCTTCAATATCAGTTTGGGCGGGTCTCAGCTCAAAAGTGGCCATAATGAAGTGTGCTGACATGCTGCAGTACCACCCCAGGCCTGTGGGGGTGGACCTGGAATAAGAATTAGCCAATGCTAACATATAGCATCTTCTTACCTCTGTAAAACGTCCAAAAGTTGGCTCTTGGCCCAAAGCTCCGTTCCACATGTGTGTCAATGCTGAGTGTTCTGGACCAGTCTAGTTTAGTCGCTGTGGACTTTAGAAGTCTCTCGTTCAAATGAATGGGGCTCGTGCAGCTGACGCATGCACAGATGGGTTTTTTCACAATTTTCTTGTGGGCGGGACCACTCGCAGCTATTTTGAAAAGCTCCAGTAGAGAACTATTTTTGGCCCATTAGTTAGAACGGCGGAGATAGACGTGACTCTGTCCATTAATATATACAATGTATGGTTGCAACACTGAAACTTCTCCTCAGTGAAACGAAGAAAGGTTCTCTAATCTTGTCATGAATTGAACTTATTAAAAAGTATAGAACAGAAACTATCCATGTAGCCGTGTGTAACTGAAGCTAACCGATGCTTCCAGGTCACATGACTCAAATACCAGGAACACAGTGACGTATTTTGACAAAACAAAGTTATCAGAACGACTAAAAGCTTTCCTCTCGAACGATAATGGAACGAGCGGCACAGTGGCTGAGTGGTTAGCACTCTCGCCTCTCAGCAAGAAGGTCCTGGGTTCGAATTCCGGTCGGAACAGGGCCTTTCTGAGTGGAGTTTGCATGTTCTCCCTGTGCCTGCATAGGTTTCCTCCAGATGCTCCGGTTTCCCCTACCACTAAAAACATGTCCAATAGGTCAGTGCCTCCTGTACTGGCCCCTCCCATCTCTGTGTGGAGTCAGAGACAAATGCTCAAAATAATAACAATTGTAAACCGCTGTGACTCTGGTCTGAGAAAGGCGCTATATAAATAAACATTACTTATGTACTTACAGTTTCTGAGCGAGTGGGAGTAAAAGTTTTTCCTGGACACAAACTTTAAAATAACAGCACAATATAGAGTCATTATGCTCATCCATCCGCACTCATTACCCATGTTACCGATCCACCCACCTTCCTCTTCATCATCACCACACAATAATGGTGCGGCCTTTTAAAGTCTCCCCCCGACATCGCTTTATGGATGTTTCAATCACGGAACGGAAAGAAAAGTCAAAATCCTGCTCTTAACATTTCCAAAAGTGTCTGTGAGTATAAATAAAGATGTTTTGAATAGTCAGTTTTACCTCCAGACTCCAGGGGGCGGTGTCATTAGTGTAAATGCTTTAGACCTGGACAGAGCAGTCGCATTCTCGTGCTGCTCCTCGCTTGCTGCTTTTTTATCTCCTTTAATCATTTTTGCTTACATTTTTATTCCACAAAACACGGATTACTCCTTTTTACAAACTTCAACACAAGACTTGTGGAATTTACCTAACTTACAGCATGTCGGGAGGACGGGAAAGAACAAAACTTTGCGACGGCTGTTTTTCACTCAAACAGGAGCTAAAACTTCTTCAAGACCGAATGTTTGTGCTTGAATCAGAATTGGGGCTGAACACAACAATACCAGTGAAAGGAAATGGACCACATGGACAGAACGTAAGTTATGATGACGCTATTTCATTTCCCAAAATCAACAGAGACAATTGTTGGAACACATATGGTGCCAAGCCCAAACAAGGCAAAGCTAATGATAACAAGAGTGTCATAATGCCACAGCAAAAATCTTTAATTACAAGAAACCGCTTTTCACCACTTTTGGAAGATGAATCAGCAGTAGTCTCTACAACAAAGCTGCTAAAAACTGCAGCGCCTCCACCAAGGACAAACTGTGTCCTTATCGGAGATGGCTCGGTGAAAAATGTAAACATGGAGTCCATGCTCACTATCTCAGTTCACTCTGCAAAAGTTGCTGAGATAAGAACTCTCCTGCCTAAAGTGTTATCCTGAGAACAGTGGTGTGCGTACATTATTGATCCACACGGGGGCGGTAGATATCTATGAGAAGGCAAGCGAGAAGTTACGAATGGATTTAACGCTGTTACTGGATGACCTCAAGAAAATGGACATAACAATTTTTCTTAGTGGCCCACTGCCAAATATAGATGGAAAAATGGAGAAGTTTAGCCGTCTGTATCAGCTAAATACATTCCTACTCAATGAGTGTTCACGCAGAGGACTTGGCTTCATTGAAAACTTTAATCTGTTCTGGAATAGGCACGAGCTTTTTGAAGAAAAAGGCCCACATCTGAACAACTACGGAGTAAAAGTGCTGATGGATAACTTTGCATCTGCCCTAAGACCTCAGCCTGCGCAGCGCGTGCAGCCGTTGAAAGGGAGAAAGAAGAAGCAAAGGGCACAGACATCACGACCATCTCCACCGACTCCCGAGGTCTCTGCACCCCCACCGCCTCAAAAGAACTCCACACCTCCACGATTCAAGAAGAACTCAACACCTCCAAGGTTCCAAAAGAACTCAACACCTCCACGGCTTCGAAAGAGCTCAACGCCTCCACCCCCAGCATCATCAGCAGCTGCCACATCTTCATCAGCGCCATCAGCATATACAGCACCACCAGCAGCAGTGGATACAGCCGCAGCGGTGGCTGCTCCATCATCTTCAGCAGCAGCAGTGGATACAGCAGCAGCAGTGGCTGCTCCATCATCTTCAGCAGCAGCAGTGGATACAGCCGCAGCAGTGGCTGCTCCATCATCTTCAGCAGCAGCAGTGGCTGCTCCATCATCTTCACCAGCAGCAGTGGATACAGCAGCAGCAGTGGCTGCTCCATCATCTTCAGCAGCAGCAGTGGCTGCTCCGTCATCTTCAGCAGCACCTTCCCCACCTACAGCTCCCGTGAAGCTTCCCCCATTACTCCAGGCTACAGTCAGGCCTGTACTGGGGGTTCCTCAACCACCTCTGTCTCCACCAAAGACTCCCTCATCACCTTCCATGGACCCGGCTTGGGTCCCCCCCGCTACATCCACTCCATCTAGGGAAAATGAGGACGACCTTTCCCTTTGTTTTCTATCCCCGCCTTCACTACTGGATTTACCGGAACACTCTGCAGGCATGATAAGATCGGCGATGAAGACTATTCCTCTCACACCCACTGTAGCCAGATCAAGAGTCCTATCTAACATTCAAAACTACTCC